AAAACATGCCAGTGATGCTTTAAAAGGAGTGAGAAAGTATGAAACGTATAAAGGAGCTACCTATCAGGTAACTATCAATCTATATTATGCTGTGCAAATTAATTCTGATTATCAAAATATTAGATCAAAATATATACATTTTTAATTTATCTTGTTTTCACACGATTTAGACAGAAGAAGACCGAAAAAACCTAGCACGTCTTCAAGATCTGGTGGACAAGCTGCAGCTAAAGGTCAAATCCTACAAGAGAGCTTCAGAGGAGGCTGTAAGTACTGTGAAAAATCAAATGCCAAACTTGCATTCACCAATGAACTAAGCATTATATAATTGGATGTAACATGGTGTGTCTGTTCTACAGGAGGAACAGGCCAACAATAATCTCACCAAGTTCCGTAAGCTTCAACATGAGTTGGATGAAGCTGAAGAGAGAGCTGACATCGCTGAGTCCCAGGTCAACAAGTTGCGTGCCAAGAGTCGTGATGTGGGCTCAAAGGTCAGTACACATACTAGAATTTAAAATGAGAAATCTGACACTTGCACTGCTTCCCCACGTAGAAAGAAATGTTACCTAGCATTGCAAATGATGATACTGTGTAACAATGAAGCACCTGGTTTTCCATTGAATGTACTACTACATTTAGAATACTTCTCTGAGGGATCTAAAGGGTGAATATATTATGGGGATGCTGGCTCAATCCATTAGAAACAAGGGTTGAAACATACTACTTGACCCAAAAACAATCAAACTTATCTTGTATTTTCTTTCTTTTGTTTCAGAAGGACTTGATGGAGAGTGAAATTCCCTCACAAATTATCGTTTCTGAGGCACCTTGTTTATGTAATGGTGTTTCCCTAAACATGTTTTGTTCAGTAGAATAAATGTATTATGCATCTGAAAGAGTTTGTTGACTTTTTATGGACAAAGGCTCTAGTGCAATGAAATAACTTATACAAAAATTTTTAATTGAATTTAATAGTGGTTTATTATAATGAAAACTCAACTTGACCCATTTTTTTAATGAATTAAATAAGAGAAATAATCTGGTCCACTACATCCCAAACATTACAATAATGTAATTTAATGTGTACTGATTTGTTACTACAAACAATACACTGGAGTGACTATAAAATACTCCATGTTCACTTACTACTCCTGTTATCATTAGTCAAGTGAACATGCTGTGCTTTAATGATCTCATTCATCCGATGTCACACAGTTACATGATCAGCAGAGTGGGTTCATGCATTCTATTCAAGTTTTTTATTAAAAAGGTAGTTAGTAACTACATCTTATATATGCTTCATTAGGCAATATTATTTGGAAACACTACATACTTACACCTTTATGCAGATGATACCAAATTATATCTGTCGATCAAGCCAGATAAAATCAGTTAGCTAAACTTCAAGCATGCCTTAATGATGTAAAAACCTGGGTGACCTGCAATTTTCTCATGTTAAACTCCCAAACACACACATTGTGTAAAGATATTATTGTCCTGGCTACAGCACCCCCATGAGGTATCTCTGAGTTATCTTTGATCAGCACATGTCCTTGAACTCCTACATTAAACAAACTCTAAGGACCACCTTTCCTCACCAAAATAACATGGCAAAAATCAGACACATCCTGTCTCAAAATGAAAAACTAGTCCACGCATTTGTTACTTCTAGGTTGGATTACTGCAGTTCCTTATTGTCAGGCTGCCTGAATAAGTCCCTTAAGACTCTCCAGCTAATCCAGAATGCTGCAGCACATGTACTGACAAGAACAAGGAAAATAAATCATGTTTCTCCTGCACTGGCTCCATGTAAAATCCAGGACAGAATTTAAAATCCTTCTGTTCACCTACAAAGCCCTTAATGGTCAGACACCATCAAATCTAAAGGAGCTCATAGAACACACTTGTACTTGTTGAGTCTCTCAAAGTAGAATGGGAGCCAGAGTCTGAAGTTATCAAGCTCCTCTCCTGTGGAATCAGGTTGCAGTTTGGCTTTGTGAGGCAGACACCATCTCCACATTTAAGAGTAGGCTTAAGACTTTCCTCTTTGATAAAGCTCACTGAACAAAATTATAAACGCAAGACTTTTGTTTTTTCCCCCATTCATCATGAGTTGAACTCAAAGATCTAAGACTTTCTCTATGTACACAAAAGGCCTATTTCTCTCAAATATTGTACACAAATCTTTCAAAATCTGTGTTAGTGAGCACTTCTCCTTTGCCGAGATATTCCATCCATCTCACAGGTGTGGCATATTAAGATGCTGATCAGACAGCATGTGTAATATGGATCCTAATCAAGAAATAAGTAAAGAATTATAAAAAAAGTTATAAAAACATTTGTATATGGTCAGACTTTTAAAAAATCGGAATCGGCCACTAGTTCTTTTCCAAAAGTGGAACATATATAACATATTAAAACAAGAACATGACGAATTGCTCCTTTAAAAGTGCCAAAATTAATTTTAAAAACTGCTGAGGTGTGTAATGATAAATGATAAAAATAAATGTTTTATTGTTGTATTACTGCTATGCAAAGTAGTTACACCTGAAAAATAACTATCTATCCATTTAAAATATATCTTCATTAGACACAGATAATTGGACATCATCAAATGACCCAACTTTTGCTAGTTACATAAATTTAACTTAAATGTCCCCCCCCCCCCCCCCCCCCCGCCGCCATTTTGATATTATTACAGACAAAAACAATTTGAAACAACTAACCTTCATATCAGCAGTGGGGTTCAGTCTTTCTCTTGTAGGAAGCATCTTCATCAAAGCCAGACAAGGGAGGGTCATTTGGAAAACAGCAAAGTGGTCTGACTTCTGGTGAATTCAGGGCCACAGTCCTCAATGAAAGACACCATTTCATCAATCAAAATAGGACATTGACAGTGAGAGTATATTATGGCTAAATTAAATCTTTATCAGTTTTCCAAATTAGCAGATTTTATAACATTATAAGCTTTGCATCCACAATAAGAGATGGTCAACAGTACCTTTCCATTATTTCGCCATGCCCTGATCATTGCCACACAGGACCTGAGTCCACACAGAGGTCCGCAGTCTGAATAAGTGGGGAGAAGACAAAGCAAGACAACAATCAACTCCTGGCCTCCGTCAGAGCTCAACTCCCCCTTAGAAGTAACATTTCACAACAACAAAGAACACATACTAACAATAGCATTGCTGGCTCTAGTTTCAAACTTAAGTGAGGCAAGGTGCTTCACACCTTCCCTTGTGTGTTCATGTGATTGTAAAAGTCAAGGACTGTGGACAGCTGGGAATGAGACCTTTAATAGGCTGGGGAGCCTAGAATAGACTGAGGGATAAGTAAAGGAGATGAGATTTCTAGTGTGAAGGCAAGCAAGGACAAGACGTGGTGAGATGTGTTGTGATAGAAAGGAGGACAACTGAGGTTTCGGTTGCATTCCTGGCCACCATGCTTTGTAAACTTTCATTTGTAGCAGAGGGTTTCACTATAACTGGGTTTAAATTCTGTGTCAAGTCAGGAAAATCACATTACAGTACATGTTTCAGAAAGATCCTGGCTTCCGTTATTCTTGGTAGTTTCAGGTAGATTTGCATCATCGTTCTTCATAGTATGGCACACAATTGTTGTGTGCAATTTTTAAAATTAGTTCTGAATATAGATGTAATTAGCAGATTTGTATATGATACATTATCCAATATTACACATTTAGTACATACAGTACATCCTTGATTTCCTTTGGGGCGTATCACCTGCTGCTGCTGGTCAAAGAAAAAATTAAAACCTGCCCTGACTACCTGCGTCACAAGTTGTCCCCAAGCTGTCCTCTAAATCACCAAGCTCTCAAAGGCAGCCAGCAGGAATTTCACAAGTTATCTTTGTGTTCAAGGATAAAGAGAAGACAATGCCATGTCAACAGTAGCAGGCCAAGGGCACTCACAGCAGGCAACGTTTGGATGGAAGCCTGGAGTGTAGGTTACAATGATGTGAATTTGTTTCAGTACAGCACAGACATATGTTGTGTAGCCTATGTAGGTTTTTATTTAAAATGTTTTTTTCACAGAATTTATCCGTATATTTTGAACATAAAAAAATGAATAAAACATAAATCTGATTTTAAAAATACAATTTCCAGAGCACACACTTAAGTTGATATTGTTTTAAAGAAAATATGTTTAATTATGATTTAAAACAAAGCAGCTTATTTATGCTATATCTTCTGTATCTTCTCTCAGTATAAAACAGCTGTCAATTAAACAATAAAAAAAAAATAAAACTTTAGTTTGATCTGATCTTGAACTGATCTGCTCCTTATAAACGATCATTTATTTAAATAATTAGCCTCGTACGTATGTCAAGATTTCTAATTTTCATTGTGAAAACATTTTAATTTATGATAACTAATACTGCACATAATTCAAATACACTTATTATTTAAGTTAATATCTAACAGACTTTTACATCCTGTCAACCTGACTGTAACCTAACTGTAGCCAGTGATGATAACATTGGAAAACAAGAATATCTATATTTATCTATATGCATAGGCCAGGTGAACTGTTTCACCAATGGCACGGCACATGTTAGGCTATAAATCATCACCTGACACCTTCATCATTTACACATCACATACTGTACAATTACAAACAGTACAGTACAATTATTCAGATTATTGTAGATATTACTAAGGACACCACAAGGACATGCAAGGTGTGCACAAAAACACACGTTTGCATACTTGATTATGTGACTATAAATGGCACAAAGCCATGTCAACATAAATTAATAATCACATAATGAATAAATAATGACACAGTTACTTTATATTATTATTATTATTATTATTATTATTATTATTATTATTATTATTATTATTATTATTATTATTATTATTATATTATTATTATTATTCAGTTGCAGAATGCTGGTTGGAATAAACTGCTTCATGACTTTGTTACTACTAAACTGTGGTATCCTTTAGTGCCCGCCTTTCTGAAGGTACTGTGGGTCTTGCAGATGGCATCTGTTTTGGCATCCTAGGTTTCTACCACAGAAGTGAGCTCAGGTAGACTTCATAAACATAAACATGAGTTGAATTGCATAGTTTCTGAATTCTTATTGGTAAAGAAACAAAACACTGCCAAGTGATCAGGGTGGGGGCATATATTTGTGAATAGTGGTGAGTGATAATAAAGGGATCTCACAGCTGCGACCTTGGCCTTGTCTTGCCTCTCTGTAGACAACAGCTGTAGCTCTCTATCCTCTCTCTAGAAATGTATTTCACACACTATCACTTGACAGACTATTGTTGAACTTCATATCTTGAAATATTTAATGTCCCATAAATCCTGCTTGCCTGCAAGCCTACTTAGTTTAGAGTATAGGCACATGATAAAACATGTCTTCCATATTTAAGACACATTATCATAAAGCACAGTGCATCAGTCTTCTTAGCAACAAATGACAATTAATATAATTATTCCATGTTATTTGTTTCCTACTGAGATTTTCAGTTCCAAGAAAAGAAAGGATTTGTGCCTAATTAGTGCAGCATTAGGTGTAGTAGGCCCTATTATGTGTTGATCATGTATTGATCCAGATGAATAATTAACTGTATCAGAACTAATTTAAAATTAGCATCAAGTGTTGTTGGAAAGGGATTTTCTACTTTCTTTCCTATAATCATGACCTTAAACGTTTTGTCACAGGTTTATGTAGTTTACTCAACAAAATAGAAACTTTAAATAGTAACATTTCCAGCATTACATTTTAACTTAATTTTTCTATCATTATTATTATTATTATTATTCCAAAACTACTTCATATTACTCGGTGGAACACAAGATAATTACTTGATAGATGGCAGCCTGTCACTGCTTCCCCACCTCCTGCCTTCCCCCTTCATGTCTCATCTGTCGTATTAGTCTGTTGTTCACAAGATGAGAGCAACAAATAGCAACACAAGGCTCTACCAAATTTGGAAAATGCTTTTTGTGATAGGCAACCTGGATGCCATTTCTATGATATTCATCCCCATATTTGGTTAACTAACAACCTTTATTAATGGAGAGGCAGCCTGGTGTCAGCCACTGGATCCATCATTTCACTTAACAAAGGTTGACGGTCAAAGGTAAGAAAAACATCCACTCATGTGAGAAACTGCTATGCTACTATGTCAGTGACCATTTTGAAAAGTGTTTGTTTAAGATGTTGAAAAAAATCTTGGCTACATATAGACAGTCTATTTTAATAAATATCTTTTAATTGTCAAACTTTATTTGCCTTAGTTAAATAATGTCATAATTTGGTTTGCTTTTGTCTACTAAATATAAATAGCACAGATCCCAATTTCCTGTGGAGTGAAACAAATCAGGTAAAATTCACAGCTGCACTACATTTTTCTTTATTATGGAGCACAACAACAGTTAACCCAATTATTATCTCAATATTTATTAAGTGCTGATTTTCCAGTGGATAACACTGTGGCCTCACAGCAAGAAGGTCCTGGGTTCAAACCCTTGTCGTACCGGTGTGGAATTTGCATGTTCTCCCCGTGTCTGCATGGGTTTCCTCCGGGTGTTTCCCCCACCATCACAAACATGTCAGGTTCTTCAGTCAGTGCTACTGACCAGTGACACTGTTATAGATCTGGAGTTGGTCCTTGGGCGCTGCACAGCGACTGCTCACTGCTCCCTTGAGGGGTGGGTTAAATGCGGAGAA